CCTTTACCAGTTCTCTACAGACGGGTTGCTTTCTGTGAGAAACAGAACTGGCAGAGAGAGGCCTGGTAGAGTGAGAAGCAGGATGCAGAACAAAATCAAGGAGTGACTTCCAGAAAGGGACATGAGGTTCATATTCTGATTACCCAGTTTCCCTAGAAATGCTGTCAGATAACCCCTGGGGCAGCAGGAAGACCGAGTCACAAACTGGGCTGGATTGTTGGCCCGAAGCAGCTCCTAGAGGTCTGGGCATTATACCACTGGTACTCCCTATCCTGGCAGGACCCTCACTAACACCAGTGATGACAGTGAAAACAGTAACCTGCCCAAGACCAAGAAACCACAGAGACCTCAATTTACACGTGCACTTTTCTAAATGACAGGTCAAGATCTAAAACCCTAGCTCAGATTACAGTTCATCCATCTCCACCCAAAGGCACCTTCAGCCCCTCTGCCAAAGCAATGTAAAGTCTTGCTGGCCCTCTTTGTCATCGCTTGGTCTTGTGGGCAATTTCAAGCACTCACAAGTGAACCTAAAGAACTGAAATCCACAGGAAACCCAAGCTTGATCCTCCTTATTCCAAAATTCTAGTTAGTAAAGTTGGTGTTTCGGGTCCTTTTACTTCCTTTGCTCATTCCTAGTGTGGGGATTCATAAAGAAATGGTCAGAAGGCAAACAGCAAGTGGTTGGAAAAGGGAGAAGAAAGACCCTGAACAAACACCACATAAACAGTCTTCCAGCTCAAACACCGTCAGCATCCAACTTCCTGGCAGGGGCTGTTAAACAATCTCAAAGCACCCCAAGGACCCAGGGGACCGATCTCTCCTATCTAGGGCCATAATCACCATGCATCATCACACCCTTGCAGCCACACAACAGATAAGTCAACATCTTTGAAATGATCACCTTCAAAAACTATGGGAAGTCATATTATTTCTACTATGAATAGTCCCTCCTTATAACCAGGCATCCTCTTCTCTCAAATGGTTAATAGCCATTCTCTCTTCTCCCTAACCCGGAGACACCTGGGTAAAGTGTCTGCTTCAAGGAAGCCTAAGCTTCTCCAGTTAATACATCTTGTTCAAGAGGGAAAAAAAAAGGAAACCCAGAGTGGAGTTCTACATTCAAGGGTAAGGAGGCCTGGAGGATAGGAAAATTTGAGCAGCCACAACAAACGATCAGAAAGAGAGGACTATTTGGGCAGACCACTGCTACTTGACAGAGCTGGCAGCCGGTTATAAGGAACAAGAGGAAATATACATGCAACAAATAGGGTGAGGGGGGAAGAGGAGAAGGTGCAGGGATGAAAGCGACTCCACTGCACCCAGGCCTTGCCTTTGCGCTCCAGGGCTGCCCCAAGCGAGCACGCCACACGCAGAAAGCCAGAAGGGCTGGAGGGAAGGGGAGGTGGCGACGGCAGACTACAGAGACACCAGGCCTCGCGTGGAGTGCGGGGAGTGTACACGGGGCCGAACGGCGTGCAAGGGTGGGGTGGGCGTGCAAGTGGCTTGGCGAGGGGTGGCAAGCGTCACCGGCAGGGCCTGCGGGGCAAAGGCCCAGGGCTGCGGGGGGCGTGGGAGCGCGCGGGGCCGCGCTCAGAGGGGCGCGCAGGAGCTGGTTACCGTGTGGTTCACCCCCCACATCAGGACGCTGAGCAGCGGGTCGCTGGCCCGAAACAGCTTCACTTTCTGCGCTACGAAGTGCTTCTTCTTGGTCTTGGTCTTGCTGGCGC